TCCCAAAGACATCTTGGTGCTTGTTAAGGCTGCTTGAACTTACCTGCTTGAACTTCTGGATCAGACTGATTATGTGCTCTGGTGACTGGTCCTTTGGGCTGCTCAGAAAAGAGCAGGAGCTCTCTAGGGCTCTCCCTTGGTTGACTGCAACCCCAATTCTGTTTTACAGTGGTTGCTCAGCCAGGGATACTCTGTGAGCAGAAATGTGGGGTAGGCAATTCCAACAATCCATGTTTCCATTTTATTGGGAAATTTGGCTTTCACACTTCTCCTGGCATTTAGTACCATTTTTTTTTTCTTTTCTTTTCATGATTTAACTTGAGGCTAGGTTCTCAGCGCAATCCAGCTGAAAGGAAACAGCTGCTGGCTGAGGTTCTCTGGAAAGCACTCCCTTGAGCTCCAATCTGACCGTTCTTGGCATAAGCTTCTGCAGGCAACAGGTGACTCACTTTGCTTTGGAAAGCACAGTCCTATCCTCTGCTGTCTCCTCGAATGCTATAGGCAGTTCAGAGAGCAATCCAGCTTTGCCTTTCCTTCTGCTAATTGAGGAGAAGCTCTGTGCTTGCCCCCTGCAACAGAGCCAAGCCAGGCCGGAATACACATTTGATCTAGATTATCCCTTTACTCTTTGGTTTAAAGTAGCACACAAACAGAGCAAGTGGACAAGGCTTGCCTCCCTGCTGAGAGATTTAGCATGCAAGCCACAGCCACTTTAAAGGCATACTGATGGCTACTGTAATGAATTGGTAAAAAGAGTTCAATGCCTCCTCTGAGCAAGTCTCCCCTTGAATGACGAGTGAAATGATGAGTGAGATGCTCAACAGACTAACAGTCCAGACCTACCTGAAACACTAAGGAATTAGAGAAGGAAGAACTTGGTATTTTTGCATTTCATTTCATTTCATTTTCTTTTAATTTTACTTTTGTATCCCAGTTTGCCTTGCCCCCCAGCTAGCAATGTTCCACACTGGAGGCAAACAGGACAAGGTTTTATTTATCCTGATTTATAACAGCATTTTCCAAAGTGGCTTACTGAAATCATAAACAAAATGTTCACACAGTAACGGAGGGGATGCCAATATATTAAAATCAATGGACCAAATTGTGCACTATCCTGTGAGTGCTTTTGGCCAGGGGATAGAAGTGACCTGTATTTGGCTGAGCACGGATTGATTCTCTCCTCTCCTGCTATTTCTGCCAGCACCGATGTGCAGCGCCTTTGACGTCAGTCCTCAGGACGGGCACGAGTGCAAGGACAACAGGCAAGTAAAGTTTGTCTGCTCACTGCCTTGGGCAAGGGGAGCTGTGCTTGTGAGGAGCACGCAGGGGCTCCGCACCCCGCAGAGGACTGTCGCAAGAAGTGCTGGGTCTCTGTGCGGATCCCTTGGCGCCCATGACAGCGCTGTCCTGAAGGCAGGGAGGAGAAAGCAGGGAATCTTGGCATGGGACCACCGTGAATAGAAGCAACCATTGCAGATGAGCTGAGCTTGACCCTCAAAAGTTCCTCTTTTCAGTTGGAGCAGGCAGATGGACTGTTTACGCTGGCTTTCTGCCTTGGCTGTGCGAATTGTCAGGGGTGGGGAAAATGCTAGTAAAGCTAGTAGGCATCCAGGAACTGGAGGAAAATAGTTTGGGTTCTCAAAGTCTTTTTGATCTCTTCTGAAAATATTTCCTCTAGGAACACTTTCCAGTTTAGAAGAGGCGCCTACAAAATACCACTGGAGAGGTGCCATGTCTTGCTGCCACTGCAGGACTGCTCTTAGATCTGGCTGATGTACAGGTGTCCCTAATCCCCACCTATACGGGCAGTAAGTCCTGTTGGGACCTGCTGCTACAGTCACTCAGCACCACCTTGCACTGGCCATTCCTGCTCCCTGATGTCACGCAGCACTGCTTGCACCCTTCCTGAGCACCTGAAGGCACAGGTTTGAAGCTGAAGTTCAAATCAAGCTGCCACAAGGAAGGGCAGTGTGTATCAAACTGCTGTTGCTGAGAAAAGCCACAGGGCAGCCTTGTCTGGGTCCCCTGTCATGGAGATGCTGTTCAAGGTCCTAGCCCATGGGGCAGGCTCTGGTTGCCTGCGTGGCAGGCTTTGTGGGCAGCTTGTACTTAGGCTAAATGTGTTTGTATGGAGGGCTGTGTTTTTCCATAACCACCAGGCACCACTTCCCTCCAAACCCAGAAATAGAAGCAACAACTCCTCACTCCCATCTTCTGTCTAAAGACTGGGCACAGAAATGGCAATGGCTGTGATGGTGGCACCGTCTGCTGCCCCTGCAGGCACTCACCCATGTGGTGACCATGGGCGGTCAGGAGGGGTGAGGGCACCTGCTTCTTCTCGGTGGGGATGTGATGTGTAGGGGTCTGGGATGTGGCACAGGGCTCGAGTACCAGCTGATGGTTTGGCAAGGCTGCAGCCCCAAGGGAGTGAGAGGCCTCAGGGTGTGGTGTTGTGACACACACCAGGTGCTGTTACACTAGGGACTGTCTGTAGGGGGAGAAACTTCTTTCTGCAGGTAGCTTGGAGGGTGCATTACTAGTCCAAGAGGGACTAGAGAAGTTTTGGCTTCTAGCATTGGCTTCATGCTTTGTTTCTTGAGTATAAAATCAGGTTTGGGTTCAAGGTGCTGGGGGAGTTGTGATGCAGCTCTGTCCTGGGCGGGCAGCAGGTTGTGAGCTTACGGTGGTGTGGGGTGATGCGCATCCTCATGCCTGTGCTGGGCCTCAGCTGCAGCGGGGCTGTGCTACCCTTGGTGTTTGCTGGGCCCTCTCTGCTGGAACTCCTCAACACAGGACAACAGCAAAGCCCAAATTACAGCCTGTGCTGTAATGGCCACGAAAGCAGGCACAAGGATTATTCTCTATCAAATAGGTCACCTCTGTCAGTGCTAGGAGGATAGCAAATAAGCCAGTTAATCACCTGTTGCTGTGAAAACGAGGCCTGCTTCTGAGAATGAGGCTCCTCTCCCATTTCTGTTGTGGCCTTGCTCTCTAATGCATGCACAAGCACACTGGTAAGTGCACACAAGCAGAGAGTTTATTTCTCCATGGAGTTTCTGTGCAGCAGTGCACAAGTCCCAGAAGGACTCAATATTTTTCAGAACATGGCCCTTATGGTGGCCACTCAGCCTTGCAGTCTGTGTAAACCTCGTTCTGTGCAAGCTGGTGAAAGGCTGGTATTTCTCCTGTTTCACCAGGGCTTACACTGAGCTGTGCTGAGAGTTTTCAGGGTTCATCAGAACCCCTGAGTCTCGTTAAAGGGTGAATAGTCCTTCAGTGTTGTGCTGCAGTGTTGGGATGTGCGTGTCCCACCTCAGCAGGAACAGGAGCTGAGGTTCCCCCAGCCACCAAGTCCTCACTGGTTATAAAACCTCCCACTCAATGCAAGTCTTAGCGCAGGTGAAACATTCTCTTCATTTCTATTTGCCCAGCCCTGTGTGTTTCCAAAGACTAAGATTAGGAACTTAAAGCATCTCTTGGGGAAGATAAATGCAACTGAAGGTTGTGAAAGGCTGCTCGAAGAGTTCACTGGTTTGGGAGCTCAGCTGCATGGCTCCTCAGCTCTCTGTCTCTGTGGCACTTCCCCAGGCAGCAAAGATACAGCACTGAGCCTACTGATTCACTGGACAAGTCCTCAGTAGTTCTGGTTCCTTTTAGAGTTCCTTTTCCCCACACTTTTTTGCTTGGGGTAATTAAAAAATGCCGGGTTCTGCTTTGTCACAGTCCTTCGGAAACTTGTAGGGACCATAGGAGTTTCATCAGTGTCTTTCTGGCAGGGGTCTTGCTAATGACTGGCCTCCAAGGGGTGGTGACAATGCAAATAAATAACAACACTTGAATGGAAAATTCCACAGACGAACTGCAGTGGTTTCTGAAATCCCTTTCGAAGCGAGGAAACAACTGTACCTCAGCAGAGAGCCTGCAGTGAGGGGATCCATGTGCGTAGAGGAACAGAGAGCAAAGGGAACATCTGTGAGTGCTTAATTCGAGTGCTGAGGGTCCAGAAAAATTGGTGAGCAAGATTGTATTTCATGTGATCTGGAAATATACCAGAGAGAAATTGAACTGCATGGGAAGCGAAAGATGTGCTGTATGTGGCTACTAACCCTTTGCAGCACCTGAATTGCCTGGGTAACTCAACTCATTGTGAAACGTCAGCATCAGGAATGAGATGCACTCAGATGTGGATTCTGGCTTATGCCAAATGTTGTGCGGATGCTGCAGATGAGGAGCAAAGCCTACTGTCCATGCAGAGAAATATTTAAGAGCATTTGTTTTTCAAAACATGATTAACAATCTACAAGAGCTTTTTTCTTTTATTTTTTTTTAATTTTGTGTCCATCTGGGGATTGCCACCTACATCCTTGCTCTTTCATTATGAGGAAATAATAGATTTCATATGGTGAGGGAATGGGATTACCTCATAGGCCTCTGACACATGTGGCAGATTGTACCTTTTCCCTCTGTGACTGAGTCATTTTAGAGTAAATTTGGCTGCTTTCTGATGAAATGAGCAGGGAATGTTTTTTGAAGAAGTCTGAAAATGGGCTCAAAAAAAAAAAAAAAAAAAAGAGTAGTTCAGCTGTTTGCATCACTGCCTGTTCCCGTTACACAAATGCTCTAGCAGGCTCAGCTGGCTGCTCCCAGCCTCTCTCACTGACCGATCCTTTATATCATGCCAGAGCCAGTGTTGCCTTGTGCAGAGGGAAGCAATCATTAAAATAATTGCCACTGTGTTATGTTTTCTTCTCTCATGTCCATTAAGCACTGAACTGTATGCAAGTGGGACAGGTAATTGCAACGAGATACTCACGGCTGTGTTTTCAAGTCCTTGGTTCCTGCTGAAGCCCATGGATGTGGTTAAAGTGCTCCAAACACCTCCAGTCCATCACATCCTGCTGTGTTTGTTGAGGGCTTGGAATCAGCCCTACAGGCTTGCATGAGAGCTCTAGAAGATATAAATTTATGTGCCTGGATCTCGGTTTTTCTTTATTTTCTAGATGAGCTTTGGATGTGGAATGCTCCAAAAGGCCTTTGCCAAAAAGATGTCCAGTGCATAGCTTCACAGCCCATCTTCCCGGTTTCTGCTGGCACGTATGACATAATATCTACCATATGAAAGGAAGGAAAAAGGCTTCCATATAAAGTTCTTGCACAGTGTAAAGCAAGGACTTTAGGCTGGCGGAGACTGGTACTTCTGAACATGGGACAGGGTGGGTGCCACAATCTGTTTTGCTTTTACTGGTCGATCTTGAGCAGGTTGCATTCATGTAACTGGGCCTCCCTTTTCATTTCCTCCTCCTGTAAAGGAGAGGGATGCTGAGTGCAGTGCACTGAGGCACTCAGATATCATGGGAGTCAAAGCCTTAAGAATGTTTCTTGAGGATAAAGATAGCAGATTTGGCAATACTCAAATATGTGTACTTTCTAAATTTGGGTGTTTTGTTTAGATAAAAAATGTAAAAAATCAAGGAATAAAACCCTCCTAGTGTTTCAAAACAAAATTATTGGATTCTTTAGTTGGAAATGTCTTTTTTTCCTATGCCCTTCATTGGGACTGAGATATTAAACATTTTAAAATAGCGGGAACAAAGCTTTTAATTTCCATAAAAATAAAACACTTTGGTCTGAAATTCATTTAAGCTTCATTTAAACATCTTCAGCAACTCCTAAAGTGCAGTTAGATTTTTTCTTGTTAGTGCCAAAGTGCCCTTTTCTCATGTCTTTCATAAACTATGAAATCTGTTGTTGCTACAGCTTTATAACCTCACTAGAAATATGCATGTGCTGTACAAAATGTTATTAAATGTACCAGAGAACCTGGCCACTTTGACTTACCTGGTCAACCCTATATAAAGCACACATGAACTCAGACACTTTACCCTTTGGACACCTTGTGAGATTGATCTGTGCAATCTACAGTTTAAGAAGCAAGGTAAATCCAAGATTGTGTCTGCAATTGCATCTCACTTAAAATATGATGCTTTCTTGTGAGTGATAAATGGCCAGGAGCCTCTCGCCACCTCTGTTTGCAGAGCTGGGTTTGTCTTTCACGTCTCTCCCCAGGACTGCACTCTGGACACAGTTATTTTTGATAAGCCCTGAAGTTCCCAAGCTGCTTTCTGTTCCGCAGAGTGATGCTATCATGATTTATGGCGAAAAATAAAGAATAAAAAAAATCAGCTCCCAGAGTTTGCTTTGCTTGGCATGCCGACAGAAGACTCCAAACACATTTTTTAACAGAGAAAGGTTAGGTGGGAGGCTCTGTGCTGTGCTCCTTGAGTGGAAAACTTTGCAGCTAAATTGAGAATAATATTTTTCCATCAAAACTGACCTTTATGCTGAGAAATCCTTTGTCATCTTGGGCTCTTTTAGACTGCATGTAACTTCTGTGGGCTTACAAGTTCTCCTTTATCACTTGGAAATGAGAGAAAAGTACTAAAGACCTTGTCAGCTAGAGACACCTTTGTTTCTCTTTGAAGTTAAATGGGTTTGTGCTTTGGCCCGACTTCCAGCATCACCTGTGCCACTGCTGCGCCTCCACGTTGCCCCTTCATCTGCACGGCCCCCTTTGGGCATGCTGTGTCCACCTGCTTGCTGTTTCCTGATGGCACTCGGGGCAAATTTCTCCTCATTGCCATCTCTGCCATGGTTTACTTGGCCTGTCCCTCGCTTTTGGCAGAATTGGGTCATTTAGCTGCTGGTTCAGAGGGAGAGGTTTGTGAGAATAAGTAAATTTGTGATGTTCTGAAAGGGAAGATGCTTTGTGTGGTTTTGAGGAATTGACATTTTGAAAATAATGTAGTTAATGAGTAATGGAAACAGGTGTAAAATAGTGGAAGGAATTCTAAAGAAAACTAATCCTAAGATTTGCTGAGACAGATCTTTTTTAGTAGACTGGATCTTTCCCCATTCTGAGCTCTTGGTAACCTCACATTTCTGCCTTTGCAGTGACAAAGATGCGTGGTCCTAACTGTTCTGCAACACAACCCCTCCACAGACCATGGTGTGTATCCCTCCTGCTGTAATGCTGTAACAAGGTAGGCTGTGACTAGATCTATTTATTAATTTATTTTTTGTTTTTAAAATTCATAGCATTGATTTTAATGGTGATTACCATTTTATTACCATCAGAAATGGGAATTAACCGAATTCATTGAAAACAAAACTTCCAATGGAATGGTTGAGAAAGTAGTTCTGGGAAAACTAGGCATGTGTCTCCCAATAACAATGGGTAATGGTTTTAAACTAAAACAGGGTACATTTAGATTAACCATTAGGAAGAAATTCTTTACTCAGAGGGTGGTGAGGCATTGGAACAGGTTTCCCAGAGAAGTTGTGGATGCCCCGTCCCTGGAGGTGTTTAAAACCAGGTTGAGTAGGGCTTTGGGCAATTTGACCTAGTAGGAGGTGTCCCTGCCCATGGCAGTGGGGTTGGAATTAGATGATCTTAAGGTCTCCCAACACACACCATTCTGTGATTCTGTTCTATGATGCTAACTACCAGCCAAAGGCACCCAGCCCCAGAGGCCCAGGCTCTGAAGCAGCAAGTCACAGAGATGACTCTGACACTGGGATTTACCCTTTGGCCAGAAGTTTCATAATGGTGGACTTTTTCTTTTAGTGGCTATTTATAATGGAAGTGAAAACAAAATTAATGAAGGCATAAAGCTTCTAGAAAATGGAATTATCATAAAAGTCTGTAAAGTGTTGCATGGAGATTATGATATCTGTGATATTGTGAGGAGATTTCAGAGTGGACCATCCCCTGAAAAGTGCCCAGGGAATTGCCTTTGAGCAGTCCAGAGAAAGCCAGCCAGCAATTAAATGTGGGTGAGGAGGGTCTGGTTCTCTGGCTTTGATTTAGCAGTAACACAATATCCTCCTTCACCAATAGTGCTCAACTCCGGCTTGTGTGTTTGACCACAGCCTTAAGCAAAAGCACTCATAGCTGAGTTGAGAATAGTGTGCTGCTGTTTCACAGCAGAGACATGGTAGGGAAGGAAATCCTCACCTGTCCCCCAAGCACTGTATTGGTTTGGTTCATGGAGCAGTTTTGATGCGTGCAAGAAAAAGTCCAATGGGAGGAAACTCTGAGGAAGCTCTGCTCTGTACTTCCTCGTATCAATTTCCCTGGTCTCTGTCATCCAACCCTTTGGAAGAAATTCATAGATGTTAACTGCAATTGTTTGCAATTCATGGTAAATCAGCATGGTGGCAATCACATGGGCTCAGCTGTAGAAGTAGAAAGTGTTTCTGATTTCATCCAGCAGAAATGTCTGGGGAATCCCAAGGAGCAGAAGGCATTCCTGCCCAAACCCACAGTAATGCCAGTGGGATTCAAGTGGCCAGTTTCCTTTAGGTTCATTTGTGTATGTGGACATCCATAATAGTGTCTGTGCTTGGGGCTGTATAACAACTTTATAGCCTCCATAAAGCATCATTGAAATAACTGTGGATCATCACTGGGTGAAAACTCATAATCCATTTGTCCATTTTTAGAAGCTTCTGAACAACCTTTTCATCTTTATTTTCCTAGCGCATCTCACTGTTATGAAACCGCCTTGAGAGCCTCTGTCTTCTAGGCCAGAAACAGAAAGAAATATAAGAACAACTCCCATTTGAATCATATCTCAACAGACAGCTAATTTCTATAAGGTTAATCTCACCTGAGTTGTTCTAGCAGATAGAAGGTGTTTGTTATTGTTTCTATTATTTTTTATTTTTATTTCTATTTTTTCATAAAGGGATGTTAATCAAGTTGTCTCAGCTTTTTAGATTAGAAGCTGACTTCTTCCAGCCTTCTCTAATGTATGGTTCACAGATCGAGGGCTAGATTCTTCTACCTTATATATCCGACCAACTCTTGTTTACATCAGTGTAAATAGGGAGTGATTCACATTAAGCCAATGTAGTTTCAGTGGCATGATAGTGGTTTAAAAGAAGATTGGGCTGACATGCATAGCTATTTGGGGATTCACCCAATGTTTAGAAGCAACATTAGTTTCTTAAAACTAGCAACATGCTTCTCCTTTAGTAAAATATCTACAGCCTTTTAGAGTTAATTTGCTCCTCCCTTTTCAGCATGTTTATTTTAGCTATTGATCAAAATATTTGCACTGTCTCTGTAAATGTTCCAACAAGGCCAATTTTTTCCCCAGTGCATTTATTCCCCACTGGCTTCTTTGGAATGGCCTCAGGACTGAACTTGTTTCATTGCTTATTCCCAGTTATTTCTGGGATCACACATACAATCCCTGCAGAGCCTTTCCTAATTTCTCTCATAGGTAGAATTGTTTTCCTGCTCACTGTTACACAGTGTGTTACTTGCTTCGCTTTTATTGAACTGCTTTGGCTGACTTTCATGTATTTTGTACAATTGTTACCCTGCTATGAGAGCTTGCGCACTTTAACAAAACAAATGGCTTGTGAAGCATTCTGTATAATATATCAGTGTTCAGTATAACGCTGGTAAACTTCCTTGACAACTGTTGAGCTTCACTATTTTCTCTGCCCTTCCCTTCCCTCTCCTTTGGATAGCAGAAGACAGAGCCAGGTGCTGTAGAAACTCTAGGCCCACTTTGTGGAGGTTTTGTGTTGTGACACAACTTGGGGTTAGCTGCTGCATGGCTCCCCAGACAAAGGGATGTCTGTGCACAAAGCACAAGGTGTGTCTCTTAAGAGACCAACAAAAGTCCTTGCCAACTGCTATGAATTTATGGTATTTGTTTTGTTGGAACAGACAATTAACCAACACAGAAAATAAATAAAAAGAACAGGAAATCTATGGTGTAAAGTTAAAGTAAAACAAAACCATGAAGGAAGAAATGAGATGAGAGAACGTCCAGATATTTTGCAACAAATTCTAATGGTGGGTTAAAGCAGAAAAGAAAGCTACCAAAGCTGGGCCTTTGAGCATGTTAAGGGAAATAAGTTATTTATTGAAGTTAATGTTGATGTTAATGGAACTTTACAGGAAGAAGATTACAGCAGCATCTGCCAAAAGCTGCAATGACAGACATGAGTAATAAAACAATAGCCAGAGAGCAGCTGTAGGAAGAAATGGGTGAAATGCGATGAGAGGGTTGTAACGCTTATTTTTTTATAGCTGCTCTCCAAAAGCGATGTCTCACCTTCAAAGACCTGTATCTTTGAAGACAGGTCACTTTTGCTAATAAATCCTTGAAACGTTGCTGTACAATTGACACAAGAGGTGAGTCCCTGTTGTCATGTTCATGTGTGTGCTCTGCAGGCCGGCTCCAGGGAGGCGGCATCCCACCCTGCAGCACAGGGCAGTGACCCAAACTCCATGCTGGCTTGCGGGTGGCAGTGTGTAACGCTGTGTGGGTCAGTGCCCATGGGCACTGGTTGTCCTCCAGAGACAGTAAAATCTTTCATGAGAACTACATCCAGGAAGAGCAGAGCGAATGCGCAACAGTTACGGGTAATGGTAGGGGAGAAACAGCGCGGCTCTTCCTCTTTCACTTGTGGGCAGAGGGTGGAGTTGTTCGTGATACATTCTTGATGTTATTTTGAACCCTGAGAAAGCTGGGTTTCTCTTCTCTTCCTCTTTTATTTATTTGCTTATTTTTGGTTGCCACATAGGAACCCTGGGGAGGGCAGGCTTCTTGCAGCCCAACCCTAGGAGCTGTTGAGAGAGAATTATGTAAATCCTGAGGACGTTGTATGTGGGGCAGAAGCTGTTCAACAATGATCTTCCTCTGGTACGACAAGGATTCATTACATGTAACTGCTTGGGGTCTAAGAAGGGCAAAACAACAGGTGGGAGCGCTTCAAAAAGCAGCTGGAATGTGGCAGCCGATGTCACCCGAGCCTCATTTGCTCCAATAATGAGGCGCACAGTGACACAAAACCAACACGGCATTTACAGTTATGGCATGATAAATGTTGTCCTGTGTTTCACAGCATATCACATAGTTTTTATTCTTGTACACAGAGATTAAAATAATTTGATATGAGACCTCTTTTTTTGCTCATCCCAGTAATGGGCAGGAAGTGTTCAGAGTTCGGACAAGTGCTTAAGTGCACCGTCTGCTCAATAAAGCCCTGAAACTGCTGCCATTCGCTCAGCTGCCCGGTGCGATGAAACGACTAGGTCTAACTATGGACACTGCATGGCAGAACAAGGAACTGTGTACACTGTGGGAAGCGTGGCACTTTAAGCTGAGAAGCAATCTCCCCTTGGGCAGCTGGCAAGCATAGGAAACTGCATGAGGTTGGTGTCCTACAATGGCTATGGGCAGGTGTATCGCTTGCAGGAGATGGCCTTGATCAAAAAAAGAGAAATAAAATTATCCAAAAGTATGATTGGTGTCCGGGAGGCAGGGAGCAATGCCTGGGTAGATGTCTTACAGCATGTCCTCCACAGCTAATGTTTGGTCCTGAGGAAGGATGTGCCATCTGTGCTTGATGAGACTAACCGAGATTTTCTTGGAACTTTTTCCATGAAGAGTTTGTCTCCAGTACATTATTCTGTGAACATACGCCTGGAAAAGTAAATGGTTTTAAACTTGTCACAGACTTTGGAATGAGAAAGCATCATGGAGGAACAAGAAGTGACTTAAGGATGTTGATTATACTGTTATGACCTTAAATTAATTTAAATCACTGCTTGGCTGAGTCTTAAACCAGGCATATATAAGGTGCTGTGGTTACGGTGAAAATAAATTCTGGTGAAAGTATGAGGAAGGCGTATTGTTTCACAGGCTGCCTCAAAGTTTAACATTTACTTTTGCTGTCCCTGAACTTCTAACAGCAAATGTCTGCAGCAAAGAAGAATGGTGCAACAGGAATAATAATAATAATAATAAAAGGAATAATAATAAATAGAAAGGTAATAAGTATTATCTTCAGTGCTGTCTGGCTAGCACTGTAACAGTTATGTGTAAAAGTAAGGCTTTCAGTTTCCAGCAGTTAAGAAAGCACATTAAAAAAAATATGTCTGGAGCTAAATATGATTTTTCACACTAATCCATAAACTTGTCTGGTGCCAATGGGACAATTTGCCCCAATATTTACT